CGAAAACAAAATAAGTGGTATCGCCCATCCCTAGAAATGACGCAAGTGACGTCTTCCTGGCGCGTCATTGAGCCAACAAGACTCTCGTTTGATTGGTTACAAGAAATAAGTCCCGCCTTCCCACTCACGCTTGCAAACTCCAGTAAGTGAGAGAATCGTGCCAAAACTGCAAGCACGGGTGAAAGAAAGACGGTGCAGCGCATATCGGGTTATTTCAGGAAAAGTTTTGCCCCGCGTACGCAACACGTTGTTTACACCTTTGCAACAGCTTTATTTTACACACAGAGACATATTCTTCAGAGTGAATCCGTTTTGCTGTTCATAACACCACTGTTTTTGCTTGCAAATTGCCGTTTACAGACTTGCAAGGCTTTTGGCCTTGCTTTGGCGTTTTTTTCAGCGCAAAAAACGTGCCAAAAGTGTAAGCGCGGAAAAAAGTTGCAGTTTTTCAACACATGATTTATACTTACGAAACATAGTAAAATAATGCCAGCCCTGTTTTCTTGAGCGTATAACTTGATTTACACCTTTACAAAACTTATTTTGCGCATGCAAATTTATTTTACGCTTGCAATGTCACGTACACTTTCACAAATATTATCCTGCGTATGCAAATCTTTTAGGCATTAAATTACCTTCATAGAGCTGGCCTTAAAGGGGTCCTATTATGCTTTTTCAGTTTTTCAACTTTAGTTAGTCTGTAATGTTGCTGTTTGAGCATAAAAAAGATCTGCAAAGTTACAAAGCTCAAAGTCCACTTCAAAAGGACATATTTTATTTACCAGAAATCACTTTTCAAAAACTACAACAAAAGACTCGTTTGGACTACAACGCATATTTTCCGGGATTTGTGATATCACAAATATCGACGAATGGGACGAGACCTGGTTGAGCTGCACTAGAGAAGGCAACGAGTGTTATCACTATGTTGGAGACACTCTATCTTTCCCAAGGCAGATGAACTTAGAGTGGTTACAATCATCCGAGTTTAAATCGCGCTCAAATTTGAATTTGACGCAATATTTACACTGAAGCTAGCAGGTGGCTATGGTAAGGGGCATGACATTTCCCGTCCAGGAGCCAAGTGCTGCCAATCACAACACACACTGTCCCAGCTAACCAATCACAGCACATTTCGTATTTCAGAAGGCGGGCCTTCATTTGATACAGGAACTATTCAAGCTGTTCATGCCAGACTGGGGAGAGAGGTGTTGTAATAATGTAAAATATGTGAAAAAATAATGTTTTTCAAACAACCTAGTATGAGAGCCTGTTC